TCAGTGTGTCACTATTACTATCTCATTTAATCCCAAAGTTTTCTCAGACATGAAAATATCAAAATGATGTGTCATTAGTAACCCCTTGAAATAATCAATATATTTTTTTTTTATGGAAAAGTGTGTGTTTTATGGTTAGTGACGGGTGGAATAATGTGTATAAATTCTTATATATCTCAGCCCAGTTATTAACCCATTTTAAACTGTTTCATCACATTCTATGCTTACTATTATACATTTTTTAAAAATCCTTATACAACACTGAATAGGTGTTTTTAGAGCTTTATAAATGAAAACCTTCTTTACGGTTACTATTGTGACCAGTGGGATTAAATGGGTTTTAAATTAGCAAACATCCTATCATAAAAATTATATGCGCACGTCACATACTTTTTAACAGTCAGTGTCTATTTAAACAAAAGTAAAAAAGTAAAGTTTTTTTATTTTAATGTTATAAATAATAATGACCTTAATAATAATCTGTTATTAAGTTAACAAAGTGTTATAAAGTTATTTATTATAAACGTCTAATAAGACCTGAAACTGAGTAGCCTATTTGAACCTAATAAATTATTAAAATATGTGTGGCCATCTTGAACTGAATATTATTTTCCTGCATCAATTTCAATTTCAATTTATTTATAAAGCACAACTAAACACAACTACCGTTGACCAATGTGCTGTACAAAGTAAGTAACTTTGATAGAAGCTTAACTTCACAACTTGGTTGACTTGTCTATCAAGCTTTAAGGCACTGTCCAACACCACACCCAGATTTTTCACGTATGGCTTTACATAAGGTGCCAGAACACCAAGATTTAGATTTGGTATATAGTGTGTATCAGAAGGGGTACACACCACAATCTCTGTTTTACTCTCATTCAGACTTAAAACAATTTAGGGACATCCATGCTTTAACATCCAAGATGCAGGCGGCCACCGGGTCTTATCCATTCTTATGTTTCAAAGGAAGATATATTTGTGTGTCATCTGCATAACAATGATAACTTATTCCATACTTGTCAAAGATAGATCCGAGGGGAAGCACAAGGAAAATAACATGGGAGCTAGAGTAAAGCCTTGAGGGACCCCACAGGTCAAAGGTACAGAAGAAGAGTGAAATTTGCCAATATTAACTGAGAAACTCCTGTTCGTAAGATAAGACTGGAACCAATTTAAAGCTGAACCTCTAATGCCCACTACCAGTTCTAAGCGGGCCAGAAGAACATTGTGGTCTACAGTGTCAAAAGCAGCGCTCAAGTCTAAAAGTACCAATGCTACAGAATCTCCAGAGTCGGTAGCTAAAAGAATGTCATTAAACACTTTTAAAAGAGCCGTCTCAGTGGAGTGAAATTTTCTAAAGTCTAATTGGAACGCATCAAAAATTTTGTAATCGACCGAGAAACTTTGGAGATGATGAAAAACTACTTTCTCTATAATTTTTGCTAAAAATGGAAGATTAGAAATGGGTCTAAAATTTGATAAATCGGAGGAATCTAAATTAGGCCTCTTAAGTCTGGGTTGTACCGAGGCATGTTTTAAATACAAATAGTCAGGAACAACTCCTAACTCAAGGCATTTATTAATCAAATTTAAAAGTGTCGGACCCATTACATTGAACACTTGTTTAAATAACCGTGAGGGAATTATATCTAAGGGTGAACCAGTTAGTTTGAGTTGATTAACAATGTCATTTAAAAAAGAAAGCGAAATAGGTGTAAACTGACTAAAGACACCTGTATATTTTAAATGGCCTGCAGGATCGCCAGCAACCGATTTGATGGTATGTCGCCAGCAACCGATTTGATGGTGTGTCTGATCTCAGATATCTTATTAATAAAAAACTGGCAGAACTGCTCACACATACTGACTCTGTAGGATACACACAGACAACAGGGTTTAACACAGCATTAATGGTATTAAAAAGGGTTCTAGGATTATTATGATTTTTGTCGATGAGAGTCGAAAAATAGTCTGATTTGCCCACTCTCACCGCCTTCTGATACTTAATAAGAGAATCCTTTAACATTTCATAAGAAATCTGTAGTTTGTCCTTTGTTCCATTTCCTCTCAGCCCATTTTGGAGGTAACTTGCCCAACACTGTTGTCCAACACAAGATTCAAAGGGGCTTTGTTGAAAACGACGCATTTGAGAGAGGCGGGGCATAGAGGACCTACAATAATGTACAGTATTTGAAAAACCGCCTTCTGATACTTAATAAGAGAATCCTTTAACATTTCATAAGAAATCTGTAGTTTGTCCTTTTTCCATTTCCTCTCGGCCCTTCTACAAGCCTGTCTCAATGTCCGAGTGGTATTATTCAACCATGGCTGAGGAGTTAACTTGTGATGTTTAGTCCTCAGTGGAGCCACAGAATCCAAAATTGTAGTGCAGACAGAATTAAAACTATAAAGCAGTTCATCAGGACTGAGCTCAGATGAAGCGAGAGCAGTAGAATTGGAAAACTCCTCAAACAGTGAAGAAAAAGAAGCAGCGTTAGCAGCAGTGGTCCTCCGCGTCAGGTGAGCCGATACATGAGGTTTTACAGCATTCAATGACAATGGCGTGTTTAATATAATAGGATTGTGATCAGAAAAGCTGTGGTCGCATATCTCAATATCACCCATAGAGAACCCATGAGACATTATAAGATCGAGAGTGTGTCCATGTGTAACGGAGGCCAGCGAGTAGGTGCTGTGCAGGTAATCCTCACTCCCCTCTTTAGTCTTTAGCCTCCTTGTTAGTGCGTCCGCCTCCCATGCCGGAGACCCGGGTTCGAGACCCACTCGGCGCGAGAACGAGGTGTGGCGGTGAGGACCCGGGAGAGAGGGGTTACATAGGTGCCGTGGCACGTGATGCTAGTGGCTGCAGTCTTTAGCCTCCTTGTTAGTGCGTCCGCCTCCCATGCCGGAGACCCGGGTTCGAGACCCACTCAGAGCGAGAACGAGGTGTGGTGGTGAGGACCCGGGAGAGAGGGGTTACACATGTATATGAGTAGGTCCTTTAACAAGCTGCACTAAATCAAAGGCTTCTGTTAGGCTGATAAAGTCTTTTGCAAGTGAGTTTTGGGGGCAGCATATGTGAATGTTAAAATCCCCAATAATTAAAAACCTATCAAAATTGGGGATGATTCCCCCCAAGAAATCTGCTAAAAAGTCTTTGTGTGGCTTTGGAGGCCTGTAGACCACAGCAACAACTAACGGAGTGTCCGAGTCCAACACAAGCCTGCATACAATGCAGTGCCATGCAACATTTTTAAAAATAGTAAGATATATGAAACAGGATGCAATATTCAATGATTAAGTTTCAAACAACAGTGTGCATTGTGGTCACATGACCCCTCGGCTATAGTTTCAGAAATAAATACCATGTTTTATTTTGTGTCCAATTTTGTGTAATAACACATTAATTTTCAGCAGTCCAACCAAATAGCCAAAAAGTCAATAAATGGAAACTCAAATGAATTGCATTGTGGTTACGGTAAAAAGCATATGAGCTCTCTTGTCCAGTTCATCTTGGCAAATGAACTACATCACTGAGGTCTTCAGAGAATGCAGAGATTCATACTGCAGTCTGTGAAAATATTACAAGCAATATGGTAGCATAATAAGCTATTCTGAATAGCCAAAATTGTTTAATATACACTCATTATAGCCTACATCATAACAATGTAATCTAATTTTATAAATAAACTTGAGTGATTTCTAATCTAATATCATTATTAAATTTGTATGCAAAATAGTAATAACAATACAAGACAATACAATACATTACAACAACAATACAGCACATTTGATCTGATTTTCTTTTTTCGAAATTACCAGAAGGCTAATTACTGAAGCTCAGAATGCCTCCACCTGCTGGACAGAGAAGATCACTGCAGGATTTACAAAATGTGATGCTGCTGCAATGACTTTACTTTTTGGGTCAACTTTGAGTCAACTTTTTGTTACCTCCATAAAGTCCCATAGCACATTATGAAATAAAACAGGTTGACTTTCAGTTTTGCACCCACAAGGAACGTGTACATTCCCTGTACTTTTACTCACTCAGATCAGTTGCTTTATGGCTCTGTTTAAGAGCCTCAGTGAAGCGCTCATAGCTGTGCTTTATCATGAATAAAACACAGCTGATGACCAATCAGAAGCTAGGACTGGAACTAACCGTTTTATAATTAGAGATTTTTCACACTTTTTCGCATGTTAACATGCATATTGATTAGCCTACGCCTTGTGTCTATATTGTTGGAACAGTGAGCATTTTAACAATAATTGGCCATATTCAATTTGAACAAATGCTGCTGCAATGACTTTACTTTTTGGGTCAACTTTGAGTCAACTTTTTGTTACCTCCATAAAGTCCCATAGCACATTATGAAATAAAACAGGTTGACTTTCAGTTTTGCACCCACAAGGGACGTGTACATTCCCTGTACTTTTACTCACTCAGATCAGTTGCTTTATGGCTCTGTTTAAGAGCTTCAGTGAAGCACTCATAGCTGTGCTTTATCATGAATAAAACACAGCTGATGACCAATCAGAAGCTAGGACTGGAACTAACCGTTTTATAATTAGAGATTTTTCACACTTTTTCGCATGTTAACATGCATATTGATTAGCCTACGCCTTGTGTCTATATTGTTGGAACAGTGAGCATTTTAACAATAATTGGCCATATTCAATTTGAACAAATGGCCATATTCACTTCTATTGTAAGTCCCATGGCAGTAACCCATATTTTTGCTAAAAAGGGGGAACAATTGAAATTATTTTTGTAGTTATCAAACATTATGTCACAACTGCTCTCACATGGGCTTAACTTACGCTGAATCTGCAATATTCCTTTAACAGCCCTGTGTCTCTGTGTGTGTGTCAGGATGCTGGAGTCTCTCTACAGGAGACTATGAGATACCTGGAATCTCAGTGTCTTGAGGAGATCGAGGTCATGCTTAGGGGGGAGATACAGGGCCAGGAGCTCGGGGATCTGTTCTTTAACTGTGTGTTCGCCGAGATCAAATTCTATAAGTGAGACAGAGCAGGTAAACAGAGAAATGTCAGCGTATCTCTCACACATCTGACCTGTGACTTCCACTGTCTGATATTGCCTGTAACTTGTGGCTGTTTTGCAGTTGTCGTTTTGAATGTCACTAGTGCTTGCTGATCTGCCTGGAGAGAGAGAGAGACAGTCCAGAGCGCACAGGTTCCTGCTCAAATCCTGCTGATGCCATGCCAAACTAATTGTGATGTCCATGGCTCCATGCCACACTAACTGTAACTTAAAAAAAACACACTAGATGTCCATGTGAGTGGATCACCATAATCATGTGTAATTGTCGCACAGGGCGTATATACGCATCACATTACCGGTTTGTGATAGATTACTAAAGCATGTACTGTATGTGCTGTGGGTAGACGTGTGAGAGAAGAGATGTTAAAGAAAAACATTTCTCATTCCTGTAAGAGATGGGCTCAGCTACCTGACTGACCCTCTGAGGAGAAACATAATAAAATAGCAACGATTCAAAATGTATGGCATCTTTATTATTACTGAAACATGCGTAGTTCATGTCACCTTATGGATGGATGTTTGAAATGGAAGTGGAGGAAAGCCCAGAAAACGACCTAACTGCTGCGACCAGGTTTACGTGTAAATATAAAATATATAAGTTGTCTATTTAGTGTTTATTGCAGTCTACCTTTGTACAGCTATTGTTATGCTAGCTGTATTCACGTTTGTATATACTAAAACTCATTAGCCAAACATTTGCATTTAGTCATTTAGCAGACGCTTTTATCCAAAGCGACTTACAAATGAAGACAATAGAAGCAATCAAAACTTAACAAAAGAGCAATAATAAGCAATGACAAGTCTCCCGAACACAGTACACGTAGAAAGGTTTACATATATACACACACACACACACACACACATACAATAAAAGAAAAATTAGATAGAATAGAAAAAGTATAGAGAAAAGCTAGTGTTAGGCTTTTTAAAGAGAGTGCAAGTGTTAGAGGGTCAAGTGTTTTTTTAAAATATAAAACAAAACAAAAAAAAACAGATTAAATAGAATTAGAATAGAGAGTGCTAGAGTTAGAGGGTCACATGAAGATGCATGGAAAACATCCTAGATCACTGTGCTTTTATAAAAGAAAAACTATTATAACCGATCTACAATTGGTTGCAGCATCATTCAACCCTACCAAACAAAACAATCATCATATCAAGATCATCTCAAGCTGAACTGAATAATGATAAAGCTTCGTAAGTCCGAATTTATTGACCCAATTGCTTCACAAAATGATTCACTCTTTCAAAGCGCTCGAAACAATGGCGATACCCGCTGGTCAAAATGGCGCAGATGCAACGTAAACACAGTCAAAGCGCGGGTTTTAAAGGGGTCATATGATGCGATTTCAATTTTTCCTTTCTCTTTGGAGTGTTACAAGCTCTTGGTGCATAAAGAAGATCTGTAAAGTTGCAAAGACTAAAGTCTCAAATCCAAAGAGATATTCTTTATAAAAGAGTCAGCCACACCTACCTAAAACGGCTCGTTCGAACACGCCCCATAATGTTCTTTTTAGCAACATCATATGACCCCTTTAAACTGTAATTCGTCAACTGGCCGCTAGAGGCTGGCTGAATGCCCAACTTTACAGCAGAAAAAACATGTTTACAGCCTGGTTCAAAAAATTATTTTGGTCTATATAGCTAATTTTGCCCTTCATGACAACTGTGAGGGGGGTGAATTTTTTTTATAACTCATCCTTTTAAATGATATTAAAGTCCGCATGAAATCAAAATCGACTTTATTTACTTTACTAGCGTACATTGCTAGTAATGATGTCAACAATTAATCTGTGCAAGTTAATCCGCTGAAAAAAATGGTTTGTCTTCGTAATCTTTAATCAAAATCTGAACATTTACTTCCGCTCTGGAATGGCATTCCTTTTCTGATAACGTCAGTTTGACGGCTTGGGCAGAATATGCTTAAACACACCCCTCTAACATTAGATTGCTATGAGTGAGAGACAGAGAGGAGGAGCGCAAACATAAAAACCATGCCCTCTATTCAATATTCCGTGTCAGCTGTAAATACGTCACTACACTGAAATAAAGTCGTCAGCAACTTCCGGTTCACACGGACTTTAAGCCTTAAAGTTCTGCATAATTAAGGGCGTGGCCACTTGAGTGACAGGTGGATTGCCGCTGCTGACTGCCGTCGAGCTAGGTGGGCGTGGCTTTAGCAACCAGCTCCCGCCTTTTTGCCCATTTTTGATTATCTGGGAGTGACGTGCGGTGACGCGCTGCCAAGATGGCGACGGCCGGCTCCGCCCACTTTGAGCTTCAAAAACGCTCTTCAGAAAAACTATGGGTGACATCACGGACACTACGTCCATGTTTTTATAGTCTGATGTATGGCATAAAATTAAAAAAAAAAAAATACAGTCTATGGTTTTAATATATTCTCTAATATAGATCAGTGGTTATGACAACTTTTATAAAACTAAAGTTTTATAGAAAGTGTAACCTATTGAACGAAATATACAAATGATTAAATACCATTAAATATGAAGAGTCCTTCTTTTATTAATATATAGGCTGGCTAGTGCTTGTTTTGTGTCATCAAACCCAGTGTTTGGTAAATAGGCCAACTAGATCAATTAAGTAGCGTCTATCTGTTAACTTAAAATTAAAACAAAATTATCAAACTAACCTGAGATCAATTACAACCATTATTAGCCACTACTTGACTATATTTGGGCATGACAAGGCATCGACCAATCATTTTATCACATTGTCCCACCATAGGCCACACCCACTTACGTTTAGTCACGTTACGCCTGCATAGTACATTTCATTTGGGTTAGGGATGGGCGATACCCCTTATTTTGTTTTCGAATCGAAACCGAAATATTTCAAGGCAGTATCGTCGATATCGATACCGATTCGATACTTCTGCACTAAACTTTTAAATTATGAAATTTATTAAATTATTAAATTACTAAGAGTAAAATGGGTAATGAAAACCACGTAACTTTGTTGGGTTTCGGTTCGCATCGTGAATTTGTTCGGGGCATTTGACTGCAGATTGTTTTGTAAAGAGGACAGTGTAATGGAGAGTGAAAGATCAATCTAACTTAACTGTATTGAATCTGACAGCAGCTGCATCGCAAAACCGTAAGTCAACAATTTCATTATGCTTTGTCTGTAAATGACGGTCTTGTGTGGATAATGAATAACTTAATGGGGCATTGGTACAACTGGTCTATGATAGAGCTCATATTACATTTATATAAGGTTAGTGGATGATACTTTTTCCTTTCGAATGATGTTAGACAATCATAACTGTGGCCTTTTACTGGAGCCACCCCTTAAAAACGGATAATTTCGGACAGAGGGTCAGAAGAGGGTTGAAAATAATAATGATTCTTTTGTTAACATCAAAGTGAGCCTCAAGGGATACAATAATTAAAAAAAAAAATCGGAGTCATGGCAGTTTAAAAGATGTGATTCTCATCAACCAATCATCATCGCGAGAGAGAGGCAGCCCGTTTTTGAATATTAAATGAGAAGCTTTTGACGCGTTCTAAATCCTCTGTATGACATAATGTGTAAGGCCCGATCACAGCAAGAACTGTAACTACATTAAAGGGGTCATATGATGCGATTTCAAGTTTTCCTTTCTCTGTGGAGTGTTACTTTAATTAATTAGTTATGGAAAAATAACAATTAAAATATGTTAACAGCACTTCCCCTAGACCTGTATGTCATCTCATATTTCATGTTGACAAACGTGATGCAGGACAACAACTATGTAAAGGTAGTCCATAAATGCAATCATGTGCCCCCAAAATTCAAAATATTAGGCCAAAAAAAAATGCCGCTGTATGATTTTTTGTCTCATATTTATATCATATGATAAGAAATATCACACGAGTGCAGTTTTTGTCCCAAATAGCACGAGTGCAAGAGTGATTTCACATACAGCAGTTGTGATTAAGAAGTTAATATTATGTTATATTTTAAGCTCAATATTGTCTGTTTTTGCTCAGTTTGCCGACGCAAATATTACCTATTAAAACCACATCACAAGTGTTGTGCGTCTCCAAGCACACAAAAACACATGATTTCTGAAAGAATCCGCATTTTGAAGGAATACACCAATGATTCAGTTACCCATTCATAAAGATTTGCTTCATTCCTGAATGAATCAGCCTTTTGAACAAATCGAATGAATTAATAAATGACTCAATGACTAATTCATTAAGACATTTTAATGCCACCTACTGGCAGTTTAGGTTTCTTTTTAAGAGTATAATTTCATTAAAAAAAATCATATTTACATATAAAAAAATCTATATTAATAAAAAACGAATTAAAGGGATAGTTCATCAAAAAATAAAAATAAATATTTCTAATTTTTGTAATATCGATTTCATGCTTTAACACAATAATGGCTTTAAATTATTTTTTGTGGGTAATTTCTCAGCCAAATTTGATTAATATGTTATTAATTTTATTTTATTAATATTAATATTCATTAATTGCCACACTGTATAATTAATTAGATAAAAAAAGTTAAACAATTGACAGCCCTAGTAGAAATACTCCAAACTCGATAGTCTTCGATGACTTATTAATAATAAAATGTATAATAATGCAAAAGCAGGACGTCCTACCAGAAGCCAGCATTGGTAGTCTTTGCATCACAGCTTCACTCATCACAGAGCTTGATGAAGCACCTCAGCGGGTGACTGCTGGGCCTCTGTGTTCAGTTTCCCACGGGATTGCTGTCTTGGATGGTGATGTTGAGAGGTGTTCCTCCACACCATATGTATGGGAAGGAATCACGGCGTCAGGTGGTGTGACGCTCTCACTCACCCTTGCTCAGCTGAGTCACACTTACCATAGCGAAAACCTGCTTTATATCTCTCACTGACAGTGAAGATCAATAGTGAAGCTTCGCTCGGTGGGTGACGGTTGGGGTCCAGTTCAGCTTCTCGCGGGAGGCTAACACGTGTTTGTTAGGTGTTGTGCTGAACTTGGTGGAGCTAGAAGGAGACCAGCACCTCCTGTGCTGTGGTGCATGAGAAATAACAACAACAACAATATATTTGCAAATAAACTGTGATGCAGTGACTACCAATGGGAGAAAAGAAAGTGGTCCACCAAGAACTAATAAAGAATAAGAATAATAGAGAAAACTAAAATAATAATAAATAATTAGTAGTAGTAGTAAATAGTACATGGGTCAGGGTTCTGACCGGGCAGCTTTTTCTGTGTTGTCTTTGTTTAATGTTTCTTTGTTTCTCTCGTGTCTTAACACATTGCTTTGTCTTTGTTTGTGTCTGCCATGTGT